ACACTGTTGTTTTTAGAGAAGTTCCATGGAGATGTGTACGAGGTGCTTGGTACTGGGACGACCACGGTCAGGCATGGAGGAGACTCCTGCTGGGAAGCACTGGAGAACAAGTTGTTCTAGCGGCACGTCATGGACTTTGGGTTGCTCAGAAGCATACCATCCTCGGGAGAGCCGACGAAGTCACAAAGTCAGCCTCGGCGACAGATGACAACGTCCAAAAGCTCGTGTCCCTTATCGATGAAGTACGATTCGATGACAATGGAGAGCTGATCGAGGATTCCATCAGTGAGGAAACTTGGGACGAAATCGTCTCCAGAACATGTGAAGGGTATCGCAACGTGGATGGCAATATTTTATGTCCATCATGTATGCATTTGACTTCTTCATCTTTGTCCGTGTGCCTATCTTGTCAAGGCAGGCTACTCTCGTGTGGTATTCGCAACACTGTCATTTCCGATTCACCCGTTGATCTTGTGAGCGACGATGAAGAGGAAAAGAAGGAAGAGAAGAAGCCTGAACATGATGATCAAGATATATTGGACCAGGCCACTATGGACGAGATCAGAAAGGCTTGGGAAGAAGACATTGCTCAAACTGAAGCAGCTGATGACGACGAGGACATGGACAATCAAGATCCTTCCAAACCGTCTGATGGTGCAGAGAACCTCAAGAGTGACAATGTCGAGACCCCATCTTTCAATGAGGACGAGATCGATTACGGTCGTGATTCTGATCTAGAAGATGAAGACGAACGAAACGTGATCATCGAGATCCAGAGGAGCACGCAACAATATGAGGGGAAGAAACGTCAAGATGGTGAGCCCGAGGATGAAGACGTCACCGACGACTTACATCCGGAGGCGAATCGACCGACAGATCGTGATGAACCGGGATACTATGCACAGCACGGAGCGACCGAGTTCAATCCCGAAGAAGGAAGAGACAACGAAGATCTCCCCATCTATTGTCGAGTACCGGAACCTCGAATCTATGCGCATCAAGAGAGAGCCTACTGTCAGGACGTCTCCATGAATGCATCGGGTTTGATGGATAGGTATGTGGTCAAATGTGTGCTGAACATGATCTCCCTGATGTACAAGAGCTACTATTGCATCAGCCTTACCGACTTCAAAGCAAATTGGAAAAAGAAGCGTCTGGATGTGATAAGCAAGTTCGGTACAGGAGATTCCACTGAAATCGATGACGATGGGAGACCATTGGATCCAACAGATGACATGATGTTAAACTTTGCCAACGACAACAATATTACAACTGAGGAGGCCTGGCACCGATTCAGAGGAGAGCAATTCATTTGCAAGGTAGCACTCATGATCCTATCATTTGGTCATACTCCGAAATCCTTCAAGGAGGAATATGGCAACTTCGAATACTCCACCAACTTGACTGATGCCCAGCTTGAGGAGTTGAAAGCGAAGAAAGCCAGTGCAATGACTGAATTGGTACAGAAGTGCATCCATGCGATTTATGGGTGTCGGACGTATTCTTATTTCAGAACCGACATCACATCACCCTACCACAAGGTGATCGATCCTCTGGACATCATGTACTCGAGAATGAAGAGCAAGTGGGAGAAGTCTATTCTGTTGATCATTGATCAACATGAAATCAGGTTGCCCCCACAAGCTCAGGAAGTCATAGAGTCAATGGCCAGAAACCCCAATGTTGGACATACAGAGAGATGGATGAGCGTGGTAGAACACAAGCATGTTCAAGCTCTTACCAATCGTCTAGGCTTTGGAGATAGGGCCAAGGAGATTCAGGGCAAGAAGAAGCAGGCAGACAAGGCAACAGCTAAGTCAACATCAACGACTAAGTCTGAGGCAAAGCCAGCATCTATACCCAGAACCGAGGCCAAGCCGTCGTCAGCACCAAGTGAGGAGAACAAGGTGAAGACTGCTCCAAAAGCCAGACCACATGATAAATCACCATCCAGTGCTACCGATGTGTTTGAGCAAGCTTTGCAGGAAGATCTTGCCGCCAACACACATGCAACAGAAGGCACAACTTCTTCATCATCCCGAGGACATTCCAAAGGAGGAGGCCAATCTGGAACATCTTGGAGGCCGGCGCTAACGCAAGAACGTCGCGAAGTACCTCAACCTTCTGAAAAGGGAAAGGGAAAGAGCAAGTCCAAGGGAAAGTCCAAGAAGGGAGAAGATGATCGGTGGGATGCTCAGGGCAGCTGGGATCATCGTGGATGGAGAGGTTATCACCAGTGGTGATTTCTTTGAATGACTATGAGGATACCATGCAAGCCAGGGAGGAAGTCATTCACCGGATGTCTATCTGACCTGGAACGCTGTAAGTGTATCATTGCAAATCGTCAATTTGATTTGATACCATGAGCATAATGGAAGGAAGACAATCACCGACTGTCTCTCCGACTTGCCGTTCTGTAAGTGTATCCAAACCAAAACCTACATCATTTGAGAAGTGTGAAGTCAGTTGCCGATGTGACATCTATGTGGAAGTCACCAGTTCGGGTCTACATCAAAGCGAAGCTCTTTTGAGTGGATACTGAGCGAGGCCTCATGACTGTCTCACTTGTTCAATTCGATTTTTTCATAGGTTCTGAGCCATAGTTGCACACTTTATATGTAAAAGTCCGCTTTAGTTCAGCATGTTTTGTAGTATGAGCCTCATATGAGTCTCGCGGCAAATCATACAATTTCTTTGTAGCACTTACATCCCTAAATTTTCGTGTGTGATCGGAACATATTGTTACCGTTCACATGGGGGGTGCGAATGGAAGTGCAGCGACATGTACAGTGCAACATGTACATATATATATATACCATATGTACTTTGGCTCAAGGATCAAGCGACTAGAAAAGGTGCGGTTTCCGTTCCGACGCTACGCCGCTTATGGACCGTCAGTGATAGCTTCAAACTTCGCTGATTAAGATCCACTCGCACTATATATATACAATTATGTATATATATATATATTTATACCGAAGCCTTCACCAAAAGCATCAACTGTGTGAGGTCAATGCCATCCGCGGTCCACGTGGCTGAAGACTTGTCCGAAAAAAGAGAGCGCTCTTTGCGGTGATTGAGTCCCGTTCCCCCACGACTTGCAAACGACCAGAGAGGACCTGTTGGTGACATGTCGAATGGGCGACCCTTTGTAGTTTGCAGAAATCAGTAGAAATCAGAGCCAAGATCTAATTATTATATATTATTATTCTTATTGCATATTACAACCATTTTTTCAACCCATGTGTGTGTATGTGCGTGCGTGTGGTTCCAAACACCCGCATGAGTCTACATATATACACTGTATATGTATATATACATATATAGATATATGCATCTATTACAACATGCCACACACACATACATATATATATATATTAATTAATATATTTAGCAGAATTTCACACACTGATAATAAGTGATCATAGTGATACAAGAGGCAACAAAGACTGCTCGTTCACTTGGATTTGCTCTTCTGTAAGAAAACAGACACGTCCGTTTGACGGGAGCGACTCCCGGCCGACGGCGGACGGGAGGCCTTGGACTCGATGTTTGAGACCACCTCGCTGCTGCCCGACACCGCCTTGGCCCACGTCATCGGCGCATTGGGCCGCAACCTCCGGACCGGTGTCCTCCACGTGTCCGCGTGCGGGGTGTGGTAGTGGTGTAGGTCATGCCGGATGTTCGGAGATTTGGGGGAGGATTGCATGATATGTTTCTTGTGCTACTCGTATTGTTTTTCGTGTTTGGCGTGGAGAAACCTGTTTCTTCCGATGATTTCAGTTCCTGGAACTTGGAGACTTGCTATAACATGCTTTGGCTGCCTAAATGTTTGGGAAGTTGAGTAAGGTGCGCCTTAACTTTTTACTCAGAGAAACTGGACCTCAGGTATTTGATAAGATTTTTACTCCTTCTTGTGTCACTGCAAGTTGATGACGTTGATGGGTGAAGATCCTCGACTCCATGTCGGCCAATGGCCAAATGCCCGCCCCAAGAAACAGGTCAACTCCAGTTGAGACTGGGGCAGGAGCCGTGAGCCACCTTGTTGTCATAGCTGCCCAGCTTTGGGTGTTGCTCGTTGCACGCATAATTTGTTCAACACTCACAACCGCCAGCTTCCCACACCAGGACTACAACAGATTTGGGTGAGGGCGAATTGATCCTCAACCGCATGGTTCGAAGCCTCAAATCCGTGCGCAGTGTGGGATTGAATGCAACCTGTTTAGATGATGGACTCTTTTTTTCCTGCTGGACTCTTTCTCCGCATCATGTTGATAGACTCGAGACAGACGGTGATGTCACAGAGACACCGCTGTCGACATGTTCGCGACCTGTCGACCGGTCGTCCGACCTCGTCCGAGGTGGATCTTTGCAACTTCAACTTGGCACGGCTCTTCGTTGCTGGGAGGCCAAGATGCAGCTCCGACCTGACAGACCGATGCGGCCACTGAAGAATTCTGCGGAAGGGAGGGATTGGAGCAAGCATATGTGGTGGCCATGTGCGGCCCTATCATGCCCTATCCTAAGGAGTGTTTTTTAACGCAAACATGTAAATGTAGTTGAACAGTTATATAATTGAACTTGTTCATTTCTTGTGTTTTGCTGGATGTTCAGGGTGGCAGACCGTGGCGCAGAGACCTACGCTTTTCAGAGCTAGTTGGCTTCAAAAACTCGAGACTCGAGACCAGATGCTCTCCCACTCTTAGTTTCTAAGCTGGAGCCACTGGCGGTATGCTGAACATCAACGTTTGGCTCCTAAGCCCGAGGGCAGACACAATGAAAGCATATGAAAGCAAGTCACAATATATATAAATATATATATATATATTCTTTGTAAAACTCAGTCCGTAGACCTATCGTTCATGACAACTATTATTGCTTGCGAAGTAGGTCTAGGCTAGGACGTGCCCCGATATAGATTAAAACTTTAGTCAGATAGGTTTTGGACTTGGCACCACCCATTTACATCATAATGAGTCTCGCAAGTGAAACCCTAGACTAGCCCGCATGCTGACCTTCATGTTTCTCATCGCCACGACCGCCGCTGCTCAGTCCTTTGACAAAGGCTTCAGTATTGATTTTTCAATGGCTCTGGACCCTGACCATTTCACAGGATTGCTGGCCTCGTGACCCAAACCCGGCCGACCCGGCAAAGGAACAGATTCTCAGTCCAGCCCTCCCCAGGAATCCTTGTTGCCTGGGTGCCCTTTTTCGGTGTCCCGCGGCCGCCGTCGCCCTAGCCACCATGGCGTCGCCGAAAAAACGCCCACATCGTGTTCAACTGTCAGCGGAGACCAAGACGTTTGGCATCCTGGTTTCAGGCACTGGGGCATCGAGTTCTCCGGAACAAAAACGATGGATGCATATAGATGGGGATATGATGGGTAAAGCGATGGGTCATATGGGGATGGTGCTCCCAATATGGGGATGACGTCTTGCGTCATGTTGTTTTTCTCGAAAGTTGAAAGAGCTCGGACTTTTTTGTGCTTTTTTTTGGGTTTCGTGTTCACCGCGATGGCATCCAACCTAGAAGCCATGGCCTGGAACCTAATAGCAAAACTAACTACCTTAATAAGAATGGCCTCCAACCCAATAGCGATGGCCTCCAACCTAATAGCAAAAGGAACCAAGATCAATGGATGCGAACGACCATGTGTGAAATTGGACCCCTGATTGCCATGGCTGCTGTTAACAGTACATTGTTTTTTGTTGGCCTTGATCGCGTTGGCATGCTTGTCCCATGATGCTTGCTTTCAAGTTTTGACCATTTGCCATGAAGGTAGTCAACGGATTGGAATCAGTAGACACATGACTGGAACCACTGTAGGAAGAGTTCTTCCTGTTCCTGGCGATTGATCGGGTTGCCTTTCGTTTTCAGCAGCAGGTCAACGCTGAAACATGTTGGCTTCCATCGTGCTGGAACACAGGGGCCCTCCCAGTCTGTATACTTGTAACCTGCTAGGGTCTTCGCTGCGAACAGTCGGCAGCTTCGAGTCGTGCGATACAACTTATAAATTGAATTCCCAGTTGCTACCGGCAATCGATACTAATATGGGCGTGCTTAATCACGGTGTTGTAATTTATTAACCCATTTAGTATAAAAATAAAGGTAAACTGCCTTTTTGATTTGTTTAAGCGAGTCATACATGTAAAAGGTATCCAGACTATATGCTTGGAGACCTAAACCCGTTTTATTGATACTCTTTTTTACAACGAAATTACTGTAAGATGATGACACAGCAGTTTCATTGAGTTTCAAAAATTAAACAACATAGAAATCATCAGCACCAGGAATGAAACACATAAAAAGCAGCAATACAAACATAACAAATATAAAACACACATATATATATTTTATATATATATATATCTGTTATTCAATCTTCTTTTAGACCTTGACTTCGAACACATCTGCACGACCATTGACCATGTTCGATAAAAAGGAGCACCTTTTTGTTTTGAAGCACCCATCTGCTCAAACGTGTTGCTGAGATACACGAGGCCATGCCACGCGACCAGGAAATTGGCCCACTCGATAAGCAATGGTTGGCACTGAAAAAGTCAAAAACATATGTTTGCACAAACACCTGCTCGGGTAGTTTATGTTTACAATGCTTTAATTCTATTGCTATGCTTCTCACGTTCCCTACAGTACAAAACCAAAATGGCTGCGACAAAAAAGTATGACATCAAACAAATGACCCAACACTTGTTATATTCAGGGGCAAACATTAGGAGGGCTATGGCCCTCTTTATTTTGGCTTTCGGTGAGGGCTTCTGGACAGATCCAGGGCTATTTAAAAATGTGTGGGTCTCCTTCATTGCTAAGTTCAGGGCTATTTAAACATGCCATTTTTGAATGCAGGACCCCTGCAGGACTATTTGCAATTCACTTCCCAGAGCTATTTAAAAATGGTTCAGAGCTATTTTGTTTTGGCTTAGAGCTATTTCATTTTTCTTGCACTTCTTTCATTTTGTCTGTCATTTCTTTGTGTATCTGGATCTTTTCAAAGGAACATGCTGCAAACATGCTGCATAGAAGAACTGTATTGCTGCCTTCTGAAGTGGGTGGCAGACTTCCCAAAGATCCACCAATAATCATTTCTCTAGTGTGCACCCGGTATCAGCCGACTTTTGACTTATCTCCTAATTGTCCTCCACAGAAGGCCACACCGAGCAAGAATGAGTGATTCTTGCACAGGGGGCTAAGTGGGGTCCTGGTTTGGGAACTGGAGATTCTCCAACTCAGCCTTTTTCAGCAAGGGACCGGACCTTAGCCGCCTTAGCCTTTGGCGCAATGGCGACTGACAGTGATTGGGAGATGCTTTCCACTTCACCTACTGAGCTCCCTGATTGCAGGTTTAACTCACCTCCTGGAGTCCTAGCTAGTTTTGGGTTCATCAAGGTTCAAAGGTTGATTGTTCCCTTGGGATTTACATTTGCTAAAGCATAAAAGCATAATGCAGCAGCATACAAACACTGACTATATGATTATATGACTGAAGAGAAGGAAGAAGGGCAAAAAGTCCCAGTATGGCCCCTGAGTCAGCTAGTACTGCCCTTAAACCACCATTAGCTAGATTAGATTGGTTAATCTAAGACCTGACTTGACCAAGAATTTGGCTGTCAGTGTGTGAGTCAGAGCATGCTTCAAACACCAAGCCCAAAAAGATTGGCAGCCCCATCTGCATTAGGACCTGTCATGATTTAGCATGCAATGGTATCTCACACCAACAACCAGTAGTTAGGGATGTTAGGGATCAAATGAATTCTTTGGTAGTGATTTTATTTGTTGTTTGCGCACTCATGATGGGACCCATAGGCCCATGGCCCATAGGCCAAATTTTGGGTGAACCGCCTCGGCAGTTCCAAATCAGACTAGGCCACTAGGCCGTGGCTCAACAAACTCATTGCACCCTTCTGGTACTCTCAGTGGCCTGGCCTGAGGTCCTTTGATGGCCCTATGGGCAAGTTGGACTACCTGAACTGGGCGACTCACATGCTCCAGCACCTCGAGGTAGACTGTGAGCATTTCAGTTTGAGAAGTGGGATCCGGCAGAGTCTTGCTTGCAGAATGAAACTTTGACCTAGGTGGTTTACTCAGCCAGATTGTCATGTGTGCAATCAGGTAGAGTGTAGACAGGCCAAATTGGCAGCCAAATGCTGACTGGTCAAACACTGCATTGCACTTTGGTCTTTTTCAGCTAACTAAAACTGATGGGATTGGAATGGCTTGGGGTAAGTTTGCAGTTTGCAGAGCCTATGATCTGCCGGAGGATCCACACAACTTTTGCTCACACACACATCCAATTGTCATTCACTGGCCAACCCAGGATTGGTTTGGTCGAAGACTGTGCAGGGGCTTGTGCAGCCACATATGCTATGTGGCTGGTCTTGTGGCAAACAAAGACCCGATGTTTACAGGACCAGTGACCAGTCTGTTCGTTGTTTGTATCGGGTAATGTCAGTCCATCTGTCAGCTTCCTGTGTGCTTTCATCTTGTTTGTTTACATGAGATTTGGATTAAATGAGTTTCCAGTTTCCTTTTTGGAGGGCGGAAAACCAAAGAAGTCCAGTCAAGTCAATTCTTTTTGTCCTTCATCCTTTTTCCCTTTGAAAAGGTTGTGCACAAGACAAACAGTGACGAGATAAGACTGTGAGAGCCAAACCCTAATTTTGATTGATTCAAGCTGTTTTTGTAAAGTCAAGTCACGCCCACTACAGCAACTCCTGGGATGTCTATATAAAAGATAAATGGTTGCAGTTGACCAGAGGAGAGTGGCATCACAGACTAGACTGCTTGACCGACGCTTCTTGGACAATCTAAGGACGGAAATTAACCGAGCACTGAAGCATCGGATTCCATTTTCCACCTTGTCAACGTCTGAGTGTAGCATGATGAAACGCAGATGGATCAAAGATCAATTTCCCGCTGATGATGATGGAATCTTGGTTGCAGAATGCTGGCAGCCGGACCAAGTATGCAAACCCAAACAGTCATAGAGTCAAGTCATAGTCGTCAGTCAGAATCAGAGTTCTTGTCATCGAAGAATCATCGTCATTTTCATTTACTCATTTACAGGTTACTAGAAGCTTGAACTTGAAACTGTTTAGATCCCAACCTTCACTACATCAACCCACAATTGACTGACTGACACTAGTATATAGACTATTGTCCTGCCAGCCTCATGGGATCTGAGTCCAGCACATCTTGACTGACATGTCCGATGTCTTTACTGGCGGATCTTGTGAGAAACACTGGTGGTGCAAGCCAGATCTGACTGGTGAGGCTGGGGGGTTGACAAAGTATTTTTGCTTGTGTAGTTGAGTGAGGTTGTTGTGGTGGTGCTTCTTTTTGCAGCCACCTGAAGAGACCTCATCACAGGTTACGTCACCACTCAACCCACACTATCTTTGCATCACTGTGGACTCATGACTTGACTCATGAATGACTCTTGAAACAGCAACATCTGATCTGAATGTTTTCATGCTGATTCAGTTCATGCGACAATGAGCTTACACTTGGTCCAGGACATCTATGTTTGGGGCCCACCGTGCGCCCCATATACGGCACTAAGTTCCAAAAGGCGGGATCCGACATATAATCCGACGCACGAACCAGCGGCTGCACCATTTGAACTTGGAGTTCATCACATCAGAGATTTGGCAAGATATGGGGCTTGTGGGATTTCTTAAGGTCGTACACCGTACACCGTACATATGGCATGGCATGGGCAGTCAGGGCATAAGAATTTTGCGTTTTTAGTTTTAGTTTTGGAATGGTTTAGTCTTTGTCTGAGTCAGATGATGAAATGATGGTGTACTGTATATTCCGTGTAAATTACCACCTTGCCATTGCCATGGCATTAGTTTTCTCACCGTACTTGTCCCGTTTGCGTTCCTATTGTTCTTTGCGTGTTCAATTGCCTGATGGGTGTGGTCGCCACAGGGCAAAACAGAATATGAAGAGCCACGTCATATACTGCAGACTTTACAGTTCAGTTGAGTTTTTCATTTTTTTACTCAGTACGTTCTGGGCTCTATTTTCACCAGCCCCAGCTTCCCAACAACACTACTCCTGGACTCAGTAGTCCGGCACCTTGTCAGTTTTGTCTTGCTTGTTGCGCACAACATTGCTCCGGCTACAGTTACATACAGATACAAATACAGTTACATATCATAAATACTTACAGTACATACAGCAGATACATACATTACATACTGCTGCTTTCTGTAGGCAAGACTCGATCAAATTTCACTGTGCCCATTGGATGAGACTGTGGGCAGCTAGCCGCCCTAGGTAATCTAGGCCCTTGGACTG